AGTTTCTGGTGGCTGTGGGCTTCCTGCTGGTGGTGGTGCTGGCCTTCACCTACCCACAGAGCTCCCCCCAGTTGGGTCTGGTAAATCTGGGCTGTTGCAACCGGTCGTCCCCCCTCAGCCATATCCGCCTGCTCTCCCTTCCCATTGCCAAGAAGTACAACCTGCAAGGTGGGAAACTTTGTAGCTCTTACAAAATGCAAACTTCCAGAAGGCTTGTAACAATCTGATCTTAATTTGGGACAAATAGCTTCTGTATCTTGGTGCACAATTTTATATATTTAGGAGGCTTTCTGTTAGATCGTGTGTAATCCAGTTTAAGGGATCAACTGGAGCTGTAAATATTCATTCCTAAAGTGACTTAGAGGTCCGGAAGGTTTTTAACATCACAAACTCTGATTTTCACCTTGTGTTTGTGTGTGTGGCAGGTTTTCATGAGTGGTGGAGTGCTGGTTCTCTCCGGCAGAGTCTGGTTAACTGTTCGGGATGCGCAGAAATCTCCTCAGTACTGGAAGTCCCAGAAAGCCTCAGGGGAACTGTGACTCTGCGACGGGGACCTCAGCTGGTTCTGCTGAAGGTCAGAGCTCCATTTGATCAAGAGTAGCCATCTGATGAGTTGCCCATTGTTGCTTTTGGATATTTGGTGCTATTAGAGCCTACTTTAAATTTGTTTGGAAGTATTTTTTTCCCAGTTTTCTGAATAATCTTTAGATTTTTTTTTCCTGATAAAAAGGATAAATAAGGGTCTGCTGAATTTAATATAAACACAACACTGGTATGATGTGCTCACAACCTGTGGTGATTACAGTTTGACACAAACTGACATTTGAATTGTGTTTTCAAGAGTGAAAAGGATCAGATTTTTTTTTACTCATTTTCAAAAATGCACATTGATCACATATAAAATAAATAAAAACTGCAGCAATAATACACATTCTCATTAGATTTTTTTTTTTTTTTGTAAATTCATAGTTTTTTTATTTTATTCACCAACACTGTCGTCTGCAGGGCGGGGAGTCTCTCAGCATCCAGCGGCAGCAGCTGGAGGCGCTCTACTTAGCCCATTCAGGCTCCATGTCAATTCTGCTGGAGGAGGACAGTGGTCTCCATAGCGACAACCTCGGCCTCCCTCAGGGACCTGCCAACTTCACCCTGCTCTGGTGTGAATCTGTGCCATTTTAGCACATGGATATGCTGTGATTAAACTGTTTCCTTGTCTTGCTGAAAGGTGAAGCTCAGTACCAGTCTGATGATTGAACCTCTAATGGGTTCATGAATTGTTTGACTCCATCCATCTTCCCATTAACTCTAAAGAGTTTTCTTGTTCCTGCTGATGAAAGGCCTCTCCTAAAGCATGACTCTGCCCCCATCATGTACAAAACTGGAATAGTGTGATAAGTGTTATGTGCAATTTTAGCTTTCTACCAGATATTGCATGTTGCATGTTAGTCAGAAGGTCTTATTTTGGTCTCATCTGACCAGAGCACCTTCTTCCAAATGGTAATTGAGAGTTCACTTGTTTCAAAAATGCTTTTCTTCTTGCTTTCCCTCCATAAATGCCTGATTTATGAACTAGGCAGCTAACAGTTTTCATATCGACAGATTTCCCACCTCAGCTATAGATCTATGCAGCTCCTCCATAGTTACCGTCAGGATCTCGGCTGCATCTCTGATTAGCATTTTCCTCGCTAGGTTTGTCAGTCTGTGTGAACAGCTATGCGTTTGTACGTTTGCAGATGTGTCATGCCTTTTCTTAAAGTTGAAAGCTTGAGATGTTGCTAATAGTTTTAAATTTGACGTTACTTTATTTAACTTTATAAAGTATAAATATATCACTAGTAAATATGGAATTTATTTATGTGTGATTTAATTTTAAAAACTACATATAATTAATTCATGATTGTCAGGAATCTGTCCTGACTGCCAGGACATATTCTAAAGAATATTGGAAAAATATGCATCGATACGCCATTTTTAATCAAATTGAATGTCTTTGTACTTACAGGAGGTTCAGTTCTGGAACCAGGGAAAAAGTGCTGAGATGGCTCTTCCCAAAGGCTGAGCTCTGCCCCCTGCTGGACAGCGCTGGGACCATCCTCCAGCGATGCCTGGTCATCCACAGCACAAACTCTCAAAGCAAGGCAAGTGAGGCTTGGCCCAGAATCTGAGTGAAGTATTAAACAAGAGTTACAGATACTGAAGGGAAAAATTTACGGTAAAAAAATACCACACAAAATATCTGATATTTTGATCTAAGAAGTAAAGATTGATATTTTTTTTAAAACTTATGAAAACATTTCTTTAAAATTTTTAGAATTTATTTTTAACTTTTCCACAATTTTAACTTTTCAGAATAAAATGCATTGTTCACATAAACTACTAAGCGCATCAACGAAATGGTTACAGATGCAGAAATGATGCAGGCCTTGGACTCTCTCCCGGAGACGTCATTGTTATCTGCTGCTGATGTTTCAGGGTGTCAGGGTGCTGGGTTGGCTGGTGGTGGGCGAGGGGCTGCCAACAGTGCGAGTTGTGCCTGTTCAGCGATGCCAGAAACACTGCAGCTCCTTCAACCTTTGGCTGTCACCTGGAGACATGGGTAACTCCTGCAGCAGACACATTTAAACTCCTTTAGCCAACAATAAAAAAGTTTTGTGTTAAAAGATTAAATTAGATTTGAAAGCTTTTCATTGGATCAGCCCCTTTTTATTCGCTATAGATTTCTTCTTATTCTGACCCAATCGCCGTCTTGATTGTTGTCTTCTTCTTCTGCAGTCTATGCGGACCCCCGGTACTGGCAGATGGAGCTGTTCCCCGGACGTGACCAGAACATCATTTGTGACGGCACGACCTTTTAGCCTTCAGATGGGCAGAGTTCAGGACTTGGATGTGACACATAAAGCACCTTTGAATGTTTGGAGCTTGTTGGCCTCTGTGTGCCCATCCTCTGCCCATTGTTGCCTTATAACACCCACAATATTTTGTTTATCGCACCTTTTTGGTCTGATATGCCTCTGAGAACTGAAACCAACTGCACACAAGGAGATCAGGTGGGGGAGAAAAAAAAAGCCCCTGCAAGATTTTCTTAAGAGTGAAAGTCAGAGGAATAAAGAGACTTATTCTTTAGCTGAACTGTTGAAAATTTATCTGTGCTTGTGCCACAGCTTCTAGTTGATTTCTAGCAGTTAAGAAAAAAAAAATCTCTGAAATTAATGGATGTGTCACTGATTAAAAAGGTAATAACACTGGTCCCAGACCCGGGAATCACTGCCACCATCTGCATCCTGTTCAGTGACTTGAAACTATTTTTGTTGCATTCAGATCCACATCAGTGGAAGAATAAAATTAAGTGAAATTAAGAGTGAGTGCATGAGGGGGTTTTTTTATGTGCCACCACTGGGAAATGTTTTTTAACGTGTAGACTGACCATTATTATGCAGAGACTAAAATCAGACAAGCCTATCTTGTGATAATTACATCTAGAATTTATTTAGGTGATTAATTTGGTCCTAATCATTTGCAATATTATATAAAAAAAGTTAGCTTTAAACAGTCCTGCCAATCAAGCTCCAACAATCTATTTTCCTAATTGTGATGCAATGTTTTTGCCTGAATAAAAAAGTAATCATCTTTCTTTTCCATACTATTCTACAGATACAACCCTCCATGAGCATAACCCGCTCACAAAATACATGTCCCAAGTTATTTTTTTTTTTTTCTTTCTTGCAGTCCTTGCTTGCAGGTTACATGCAAATAACTGCAATGCTGTTGTTGCATTTTAGAATGTAAAATAGTTTTCTGCATTACATTGTGTAAATTTAGAACAAAACACTAAACAAGGAGGCAAGAAAAGTAATGTGCTGTTTAATCACAAATAAAAAGGAACTTATATTTTGTGTGTAATTAAGACAGAGCTTTAAATGTAAAATTAACTTCAGTAAATATGGTAAAGAGCCCCACTGCTCTGGTTCTTACTTGAAGAGTGTAAACGGTAAGTTTATGAGTTTGTCTGGATGAGTTATTCTGGAGAGCACACATCTGATACTTTCTGTTCCCCTTTTGAACGGAGGCAGTTATGGCAAAACGTTACTCTAAGTTACCACACAGTTAAAAGAGGGGAGCATTTTAATTCTATGTGTTTTACAAAGCTGCTTCTCCAGATTCAGAGTGGTTATTGGATGTTGTGACTTTAAAAGAAATATACTGTAATATATATTAGATTATTGCTGCTGAGTTTTGGGACAAGGTGTGAGTGGAGGATATATTTTTAAGTTGAAATCTGTCCGCCAAACAAGTTCTGCATTTTAAAACAGAAAATTATCACAGCTGAAACAAATATTTAAACTGCATTAGAAATGTAATCGTTTTATGACAAAATAAAAAAGGATGTTCAGCTTTCTTTTGTGTGGCATCATTTTAGTTCTGGAGTATGAATTTATTTTACTTGTTTCCATTGTGTGTTATCCTTCTATTTATAGCATAATGCATTACTCTAAATAGTGTCCATAAATGATTTGATGGTAGTGCAAATTAAAATGTTGCATATACATATGTGACCAGCTGGATTCCAGTATATTTTACTTAAAAACTGATTTTTGCATCATATTTTTCTCATTAAACTCAGTTGTTTTTAACCTAACACCTAAATTTTCAGGTCAAGAGGTACAGACCTAATCATGTTCATAGGGCATCAAAACCTTAAATTCCAGCCAATATTTCAGATATCAAAGTTGTTCTAGTTTGCAGAGTAAATAACTTTTCTTTAAAAAAAAAAACCTCAGGATTAATTCTGAAGTTGCCTTCAACTTCAAAGCTGAAGTGATTTGCACCGTTATTTTAGCTTTGCAGCATAACCCTGTCAGACTGAGGTCAGCTATGATGCATGGTACTTGTACAAGCATGCATATACAGACTGTTGATTAAAATGTGTCTTTACCACAAGTGCAAAAAAATGTGATCAGTGCTAAATATATCATAAAAAGGAGTCATATCCCACTAGCATTACAGTACAAATAAAACATTTATTCATGCTCACTGACAGCTGGTATGTAAATGTTAGAATACCATTAGCCCCTAAGTTAATAAAGTCTGTGCTCAGATAAGCAAAAAACAAACAAAAAAACACAACATAGACCAAAAAGAATTTATATATATTGATTAAAAATGTAAGAAATCCATGAATACTTTTTGATATAGTTTTGCCAGGCCAGTTATGGATTACAACAGGGTCTAAGACAACATTTAATAACTGTTGTTAAATGACTAACAGTTTAATACTATGCATTTAAAATGTAAGCTAAGTAATCAGTTAGGAAAGCGCTGCTTTGCATCATGGTACAGATATGTTGATTATAGTGCAACTGAATAAATATCTGCATTATCGTCAGTTTAGTGAAGAACAAATAATAAAAACAACTTGCTTGTTTGGTTCCACAGGTTTTAGTTATCGTAACCATTTGGAGATCTCATATGAAAAACAATACAAAGACCTTCTTATGGTGTGAGCAGCTCAAACTTAACGCAGCCCTCTGCAGATTACAGCAGGTGAGACAAACCTTTGAGTCGGATTGCTTCAGAATCTCAGTATCGGACTATATACAGTACAATAAGACAGAGGAGATGTCATGGTGCTCTGACCCTTAAAAGTCTTTGCATATTCTTTATGAAAAAACTTCAAATTTGCTAAGGACAAGCAAACAAATCTGAAGCAGACTCGGCTACAGCTGCACTTTGTGTCACGTTGTTCCAGCCAGCAGCGGAGAAGTTTCGGACGGTCTGTTCTGACGAGAAGGTGGAATATTCCCGTCATACAGATGGCTGCTCTGCAAAACCGCTACTGCTCGCAAGTTTATTTTCTAAAGAAAAGAATGAAAAATAAGAGATGGTCAGATTGTGAAACAAGAGATTAAATGGCACATTTTATCAGTTTACAGCAGACAACAGTGCCCCCTTTGTTCCTGCTTGTCCCAGCTTGATATATAAAACATTTGACACAATGAGTTTTTTTCTTCTGCCCTCAGCTTTTTTTTATGAATCCACAGCGCAAACGCTGAGTTGCATTTTAAAATTAGTATTCACAATTATGCTTCATGTTTTTTAATTGTGCTAGTCTTATGACACATCAGGAGACAGGAACAAGTGGTGTGTGTCCACAAGCTTATTATTATTATTTTTTTTATAAAACCAGAGGTTTACATGAGTGTCATTCTCCCAACACCCAGCAGGAAGCAGAACAGTTCAGGTTTACATCAGGTTTAGTGCACAAATAAAATCTCTCCACAGATGGTCTACAATTCCTAATGATTAGATGTTGAATTATCTTATTATTTGCTTTTATTAAAAAAAACAAAAAAACATTTATGCTCTTTTTAATACATATATGTGTATAAAAAAGTTTAAAAAAAAATCTAATTAAAATTTGTTATTGAGTGAGTTTATTATTGGTTCTTTATAAAGTACTATGCTTTGTTAAAATAAAACTAATTATATTTTTATGTTTAAATTCCTATGATCACGTTAACTGAATATGTAATGTAATCAAGACAGGATGTGTCTGTGTTGAAAAGTGTATCTTATGGTTTTGCTTTTAGCTAACTAAGAACATCATTGCTGCTACTGGAAAAAATAGATACTTTTGAATGCCATATTTTTCTCTGTTTTTTTTCTTGAATGTTGACACAGAGTTTGAAAATATAGTTTAGCTGCAGCTCTAAACTTGAACTGGAGTTTCTGCAAGTCAGATGTAATTCTGTTGTAATAATTTCACATACTCAGCACTGTGGTGTAAAACAGCAGGAACAACTACCTGAAAATCTCTGATGTAAGTGAGGAAGAAGCTGATGAAGGAAAAGGCCAGGAACCACTCAGACACCGTGCTGACCATATGCGGCACGTAGCCCTGGAAGACGACAACACAAACATTAATGCAACAAAATCTACATCATTTTGTGTTCCATTTTATCTGGTATGGAGACATTAAACATTAGATTAGATTTAGTTTTTGCTCTGGTTTAAGCCAGAGGTTTATTATCCGTTTGTGTTTGAACATTTGTCAGTCCCTCCAGTATTTCCCGATTGTTTTTGTGATTTTTTTGCAATCGTAATCTCTGATTTTGTGGTGCTACTTCAGAAATATCAGCAAGATATTTTGCGATATTTGTATTTATGTATTATTGTTAATGTAGCTTTTTGTTATTTGACTGACATCAAGTGAGGCTGAGGTAGAAGGCAATAGAAGTAAGAAATACTGCCACCTGCAGGTGGGAGTTAGTAGTCACTTCAACCAAATGTTTTTAATCATTTTTGTGGAAAATTTGCAATAAACTCAAAATGCAAATCCAGGAATCTGCTGATTCTGTGTGAATTTTCGTGATCGCAGAACTGCGAAAAACTGGAGAGACTGATTAGTATCTGTAAATAATCACTTTAGCTTCAGTACCAAAATCTGAACTGCATGGATGTAAAAGATATAATAAATAAAAAGGATGCTGATGCCAACTGACCGGTTCTCCTGGGAGCCAGTGTAGCTTACGGGGTACATCTACTCCTGACAGAACGGTGTACATGATGACTGATGATACAAACACTGACCGACTGTTAAGGATAACAACTCGAAATGAGCAATTCAGATCTTCAGGTAAAACATCTGTTGTTTCTTTCGTTTTGAGAGACACAGTTCCCTCGTTATTACTTCTAACCAACTTCAAAGAATGTTTTTATTTGATTCAATCAATTTATGAGAACTCACAGTCAGTTTTCCATTGAGCAGAACTGGTAGGTGGTTGGAAGGTCAAATACTGAGAAATCAGTTTGTTTTTACCTACTTATTAAATGCATCAAAATTTATAGATTGAAAAATTCCCACAGATTTTCAGTCTAAAAATACATCAAACCTGAATGTGTACTTCCATTGACCTTTTTGGTTTTTGATAAGACAATTGAGATAATCTTGACTTTCATTTGTCGTTTGACTTAAAGTTACAATCTTATTTTTTATTTTTATGTGTTTTTGTATCAAGAACAAATTGGAATCTCTGAAGAAAAATCAGAAATCACTATCACACAAGAAATGCCTCATCGGTGTTTCCCTCATTTTTGTACATTGGAAAGGAGGCAAAATTTCAGATTATCAATTTCTACTGTCCCTGAATTCACCATTAATAGCATAAAAAAATCAACAGTCCTGAAAGTTAACTTTTAAAAGAGAAATAAAACGCCTGAGCAATGGATCAGCAGTCAGTGAAGGAGGAAGTAAGATGCAAGTCTGTTTTAATTGATCTTGCAACTTTGGTCAATTACTCCAAGACTACATCTTTGACTTCATGTTTTAATAATGTTGGTCAGTTTCACACATAACTTTCATATTATTTTGTCCAAAAGTGTGATAATAACTTCATACTACACTTGCAATTGAAACAAAAGGCTAAGAAAGACAGTAAAAGCTTGATTTTTGTGTCCCTAAAATGAGTTGCGAAAGAATCAACTTCAAAGAGAAGCTACACAACAGGTTCTTGTTCTGGAATCTTAATGGATTCCAACTAAACCATGCCACAGATATTTCATTAAGGCCAAGGGAATTTCTGTCATCTAGTGAAAAATTAGTATCATATTTCTTCTTTCATGTGATTGCTACATATGTGCTTCAGAACTGTCAGAGGGAAATTAAGGATACTGCTGATGATGCTGCCCAGGGTCCAGACCAGGATGGTGAGGCGAACCACAAACGTGGTCTTGCTGTGGATTTGAGGCTGCATGTAATGCGACAGCAGCGTCTGAACCAGGATGTAGAGCGCTCCGACACCAAATGTCAACACCGCCCCCACCAGGTGCATGGAGAAAATGGTGGTCTTCTGCTCAGAGAGGCGTGCATAAATCTTTAACTGACCCATTCCATATTTCAGATATTCAAAGAGCTCAAACTGAACCCAGGACAGCAACTCTCACCTGGAAGTTGGCCACCACACACATCCCAAAGGAGCTCATCCAGCCGAGGACTAGCCCAAAGCAGTTCAGTCTTTGGAGTTTGACCTCGTCATCGTGAAGAGCCTCCACCTGCTTGTAACGCACATACACCGTGGCAATGCCTGCAAACGGCATTCACACAGAGTGGGAGGAATGTTTAAAAGAAAAATGTCTACTGTTGTGTAGGTCCCTCTTACAATAAAGAATGAGAGTGCAGATCCACATAGTTTTACCTAAGAAAGCTGAAACATCCATCATGATCCCGAACACACACCTCTCCGGTGCCAATGTTCCTGTGTCACTGCAAGAAAGAAGAAAAAAAAAATACATATTATTTTAAATCACTTTGACTTTTTTGTTTTCTGTTATATGACTCAACATATCGGGTATGAAGACCCAAGACATTCTCCCAGTTCTGACCTGATGTAAGGCACCACAGGATCCACATGTCTCAGCACCACCGCTGTGATGTAGGCGAAGACGAAGGACGCCACCGTCCAAACGACCAGAGCAGCGGGCAGGAGGCAGAGACCCTGCTGGAACCACCACATGGTGTCCTTACAGCTTCTTCACACTGCGCTGCGAGAAACACGATCATTAATACCATCATTAGGGTTGTTTTTTTAATATGGATGATACAGCTCACTGCCCAGGGCGTCACTGTCTGAGGGGGCAGCACAAATATTTATCACCATTTCCAGTCAATAAGAAGTGATAGGCACCATGTTGTACAGAATGTAAGATCTATAATAAAATATAGCTCTAGACACGTCTATTTTAGATTCGTTAAAACACAGTTTCGATTAGTAAATCCTATTATGAAAAAACAGCAAACAAAAAAACAAACAAAAACAAAAACAAAAAAACAGCAAAGAGGGAGAGTCTTAGTCTACTTTTAAAACAGTTCAAATCTTGACTTCCTTCATTCTTGGGAACTTGTTTATAAAAAACCAGCTGCCACAGAAACAGTTTCTTCCCCCAGGCTCTAAAAAACTAAATGATCAGTTTCACAACTCTGCTGTGAAACAAAACGAGCACATTTGCACAAACACAACCCGCTTTTCTTTTTTGCTTCTTCTTATAAAACAATGGCAGTACATACATCAATGTACGCATTGTTCAGTTTGTTCCTCATGTTATTTTCTCTAAAATGTATATGTTTATATTTATTCACTGTATGTTGTGTGAGTGAGAAAGTCAAATTCCTTCTTTATGCACACATTCTGATTCTGAATGTACAGTAGACAGAACGAGGAACCCAGAAAGGACAGTTTAGTGACTGAATTTTAGTCAAGTGGAAAAAAAAAAAGGAAAATTTTGCAGTTTGATATTGTTACTGGGGTGTAATTCTTACCATCTATATTAAACTTGATCCACCGTTATCTGGTGTTTATTCTTTTCCAATGGCTTGTTCTTAATCGTTTTTACTGTGTAACCTGGTAGACTCTACAATTTTTATTTTATTTATATTGCAATTTATTTTGCAATATAAATAAAATATATTTATTTTTTTTATATAAATATAAAAAAATATTATACATTTTTTTATATATAAAATATATACTGCTCAAAAAAAATAAAGGGAACATTTCACTTTAATTTTGTGTGTGGCTCCAAATCCAGGCCTCCATTGGTTAATAAATTTGATTTCCATTGATGATTTTTGTGTGATTTTGTTGTCAGCACATTCAACTTTGTACAGAACAAAGTATTCAATGAGAATATTTCATTCATTCAGATCTAGGATGTGTTATTTGAGTGTTCCCTTTATTTTTTGAAAAGTGTATATTTTACATACATATATATGTATATCGCAGGTAATGTGTCTCACATTACCTGAGAGACATCTCTCTCAGGTAATGTGAAAGATGTCTTATCAGATAGTGGAAATGTTAATTTCCTGTTTTTCTCAAGAATTTAAAGGTACTGGCTCCTACTTTCGTTTCTTTTAAATTATAACTTGTTTGGGGTTAAAATAGGGGCTTGAAGATGAATACAATGAGTCACATTGGACAATAGCTTTTCAGCTTATCTGATCAACTAAAAATCTAGAGTGAAAGCAAAACTTAACATCTTGCTACATCAAAGTGCCATTTTGAACCTACAAAAAACAAATCACCTGACTTTCAGTCACAAGGTAATTTTTTTTTTTAATTTTGTTTTAGACTGCAATAGAAATGAGTTAAACTCGAAGGACAACATGCATTTAAGTGTCAGGTTTCACTTCCCCGTTCTCACGAAAATAAACATTTTTTTTATTAAAGTATCACAAAACGAGGCTATAAACGCATATACTTAAACATTGCAAATAAAGGCGGCTTTATAACTTTACAAAACATAGATATACTCTGAAGAAAATCGAGAGAAAGCACATTAAACCAACTTATCACTTTAACTAACAAAAATGCGGATGTTTTTAAACTATTAAAATACTTCCTTGGGCGAAATAAGATTAGTTTTGCTGTTTTCATTTAATTCTAACAAACGATTGCCCACTATGTAACAAAATTTACTGTGTAGTGTATCATATGTTAATATTTTAAGTTAACTACATATTATGCATTTTCTTGTAAGTCAACGTTCTTAAATGTCACATAATTGTAGAGAAAAGTTCCTGTATTCGGTACCGCCTCTGTAGAAATAATGAAACTCACGTTACTTCAGTCTTCCAGCGAACATAACCTTCCTGCGTTGCAACAGCAAAATGGAAAAGACTATCCTGAAAACAAAATAGGGGTTCAGATTTTCTTTATCTATTAATTATAGTCCTTCAAATGTAAAGCATCTGTTTAAGCTTTGAAAATACCTCACGCAGCGTCGGCCGCCTGCTTCCTCCTTGGTGAGCTACGCATGCGCACATAAATATTCAAGTGGAATTTTGTTTTGTCCTGTGTGTTGCCTGGCAGGCAGTGCTGAGCTTAAAAGTTCAGTAACAAATAGGTTCCTAATTAATTAATTAGCTCAGAAAAATGTAAATTAGAGCCCATCTCAAATTTTAGTACCACTGGGGAATTAGTTTTAGTCATTTTCAATAAGAAAATTTTGTTTTACAAATTTGTTGCACACTGATTGACATGTATTTTAAATTCTAGCATGTAGTTTTATTCATTTAGACAATTGTGAAACGTTGCTATTGTGGGAATGATTACTGACTTCAGGAGTTGTGAAGGAGGCAGGGACTCAAAAAATAAGTTGTGTAAACCATAAAATGACATTCCCAATAAAAATGACTGTTCACAGAGCACTAGCATTTTAAAGGAATGTTAAGCGAAGAAAAAAAAATTGCACTATGTACTCAAGCAGCAGAGATAACCATAGCCTTGAAAAAATTTATGAACCAAAGGCAATTTAAGAATTTGGCATTAATTTAACAGTGTTTGTTAACAGTTAACAAACACTGCAAATACATGTTTATAGTGTCCCTTCTAAGTATTTACTTTCTCTTAGTTTTCAAACTCACTTTAGTGACAGGTGAACTAATATTAAATAACCCACCTAAGTAAAGTTTGTTTCAACAGATATCTCCCAATTATGCACAATTTTCCCTGTAAAACAGCAAGGTGCAACAGCAAGCTCTCCAGTTTAATTAGACATTTACATATAATCACACTTTGGCTTTTCTTCCCTACTACTTTCCTCTAATTTTGAAAGAAAAAGAAACCCACTGCTTTCATTTTTTTCAAAATGAAAAAGAAATGAATCTTTGTGTTGCCAAAAATCATTAAATAGTTGAAGCAGAATGGGACTTTGATTGAACCACAATCACCACCTCTGGTCAGTCAAAAAGAAACTTTTAAAACTCTACAAAAAGAACTGTCATTCAAGTTTCATCTTTCTTTTATAAATAAGACTATTTGTATGCCCAAGAGGAAAACTTTCTTCATGCAACAAGTCGATGGCAAAAAAAAAAAAAAAAAAAATACCCAGCAAAGCATATATTTCCAGTAAGACACAATCAGAACCATGTTTTTAGGTGGGAATATGAAATTTATTTGCATTGTTAGATGAAGCAGAGATTGTCAGGTGATCCAACACACTGTGGCGCACACTGGTGAAATACCTGAGCTTGGCATTCTGGCCAACAGAAGACAAACTTTTCCTCAAGCCTCCGAGAGCACGCGCACACAGTGACAACGCGCTCATCGAGAAAGGCTTCAATTTGTACAAAGTAATAGAAAACGAATGAGTTCATTAAGGCATTTTTTTTTAACTTCACAGATGAGAGTGGACCTGATGCCAGGAACTATAAGCACACAAGCTGCAGCGATGGTGGTGTACCTCACAGAGTCATTATGAAAAGTTGTTCAGCTGAGTTTTCAGGTAGAAGTCATACAAAGCCTCTCCAGATATAAACTGTACAGTGGAATACTACAACATGCATACTGAGGAACCAGATCATTCCTTATTTTGTCCTAGAACACTGAGAGAACCAGAAATAAAGATAGGAAAATGACATTCTATGATTTTTCTTAAATGTACCTTGTATTTCATACCAAATCTGCAAAGTGGAGCCCTTCGCCATGTTCTTTTGACGACCTAGATCACCCAAATCCCTCTAGATTGTTTTAATTTTATTACAAAGCTCAAGTCTTTTAGGCATCCCATTCAGAAAACTTTGAAATGCAACTTTGTTCAATTTGAAGACAAAGAAAGCTTTGGGAATTGTAATTGGTAAATGTTCAGTAAGCGTTTTTGACATATAAAACCTCTCTCTTTCTTTTTACCTGATTTACAATGGGGTGGGGTGGGGAGGTTGGGAACCATAATCCTAAAATATTGGATTTTGTCAAAGTAATTTTTCTACCAATTCAATTTTTTTGCATTATTCTTCAGGTGTTGGAAAGAAATCTAACATTTTTTCTATTCAGTCTTTTATTAAAAACAGTTACTCAAAAATATTTTTCTACAAAATTCCAATTAAATCCCAACATTTTAATTTCAAACTGGATTGTTTTAAAATGTGTCAAAAATCTGAGATTTGGCATATATGACATGCTTGTGCAAAACAAAAGACTGGTAGAAGCAAGATTTTTTTTTTATGTATAGTGCCAAAACCCATTAAACATTCTTCCGAATTAAAGTTTTTATTTTCAGATAATCATTTTTCAAGTAAATGTAATAAAAGGAAAAAAAAAACTGAGCTGGGTGAGCTGGTCTTTCAACACCTATGTAAAGATATATTCAGATATCTGAATGATTAAACACCACGACTGTCCTGAAATCGGTTAATGTTAACTGAGATACTGCACATTTTTTGAGACTCAACACTTGGCATTACTGATGGTAAAGAAAACTGTAGAGTCCTAGAAACAGACTCCGAAAAAGAAACAAACATTAACAGGCACAAAATGCATAAGCAGGAAATTATAACCGGGTCTGCATGAATCCAGACCATCAATGGAAACCCTCTCCAGCAGCAGCAATCTTAAACACGGCGTCAGTCTGAGGTGAGCGATCAGCAGCAGCCACACACAGAATAGACGGGGTTTTAATAAACTTGATCATCACCAAAAAAAAAAAAAAAAAAAGGGGAAAAAAACCCATGAGCTAGTTTTTACACCTCATCTCCTGCGCATTCATTCACGTGTGCACCTGTTCTGTTAGAGCAGATATGTGTTTGGGGGAAAACAGTGAGATCAATATTAGACACAGCTCATAGGGAGGATTCAGTCAGGCAGCTGCACTGTGTTCATTCATCAGTCTGGTGAGAGTCTGGGGATTTCTTATCCACAATCCCATGAAAAGAAATTAAGAAAAAAAAGAAAGAAAGAAAAAAAAAAAGCAAAAACCCATCAGATGATCTGAGAAGGATTTTCAAATAAAAGTCACAATTTGGTGTCATTAAGTTTGCATCGTTTTGTTCTGATGTTGCTATGAATTAACAGCCTTGGTTATTTTAATCCCAACTTACATCTGAATCTAAGCAAAAATAGTAAGGGAAACAAAATTGGGGGGTAAAATAGAAGAACAAGCAGCTTAGAAAATTAGAAAAATTTTAATCAAAATAATGTACCACACACCGTTACATACCAAGTTGGTGCAAACATCTTAGTAAGAATAGGCGATAAAAGTGAGATGTGCAGGTATGATTTGGTCTTTTCATGGGATTTCTTTTTGGGCGGGGTGGATGCGACAGCCGGTGAACCGTAACAGGACTGAAACACAAGTTTTCATTTTAGTTATCAAAACTAAAATGAAAACAGCATCACACAGTATCCTATTGTGTGAAATTACTACCATGAATTTACTGTTGCGATCAAAGGCCACTATTAGTCTCTCAGGCCTCTCACATACACCTGCAAAACTATAAATGCCATTACAGAGTCCTCCAACTCAATAGTTCTTCTTTCCCACTTGTAAAAATGTTTCTTTTTGTAACCAAAAAACAAAAAGAAAACCTTTTCATTGACTAACCCAGTAATGCAGAAAGTAAAACGAAATAACAGATTAAAGCGAGAATGGACTGGCAGTGAATATTTTTGAAGTACAAAAAAAAAGAAAGAAAAAAGGACATTCTGATACGTTACATAATAAAGTTGCTGCCGTTTCCTCCAAAAACATATTTTGCTGATACAAAATAGCAGCACAGCTTTGATTCATGTGCAGAAGATGAAGTTGTTTTAAAAATCCAATACATGAAATTTATATATATATATATATATATATATATATATGTGTATATATATATATGTGTGTGTGTGTATTTATATATTTATATGTGTTGTAGCAGGACTTTTAACTTAAGAGAAGCACACTATAACAGTTTCCTATTTACAATAGCAAAAGTTAAAGTTAGGCAAATATTACAAAAATCCTTATCATGAAAAGCAAAAACCTTGATTCGTTCCTTGTACATTTTCTTGCACTTATACAGTTAAAACACATGTAAGTTTCTCTCCGTGGACGCACCGAGTAGCACCTGTACTCCTCTGAAACATTTGCTCATTGTAACCATGAATTGTCAGAAATTCAATTCTGTATTGGTGGAAAAAAAAAAACATAGAAAAGAAAAAATGACAGTAATATTCCAGTATCCTATTGTATAATATTTGTCCTCACATTCAGTTGGCAGAAGCACATACTTTACACCACATCGACTCCTGCCTCTTTAGGAGTAAAACTGAGGGAAGAGAAGATGAGTGCGACTAAGTGGAAGGGACAGAGTCAGTAACGGCTGGCGTCCCCTCAGTGATTAGCTGGACTGGGGACTAAGCGAAGGCTTGATTTTGAAAACAAAAATGTGAAGATGGCAGGCAATCTGGTTGCAAACACTGACACAGTAGCGCACCAGATCAAACAGGGAAATGATCTGCAAAAGACAAGAGAAAGGTTACCATTTTAAGACTGAAAAAGCAAAGTTACAGACACAGGTAAGGCACAATATAATCAGAAAACTCAAGACGAAACTTCAACCACTTCAGAAATTAAAATATTATTAAACTGTTTGCAAAGTTTTCTGCAAATCATATAAAGTTGACCTAAGATGCATATGTGGGGGAAAAGAAAGCTTAGAAGTTTGGAAAAAAAACAACAAAAACAAAACAAGTACACCGCTGCTGGTTGAAAAGGATTTCAAACGCAATCAGGACTCATTGAGGAATTGTAACTGATAAGGAATCTACAAACATCACAATTTAAGCAACCTTACAAAACATGTTTTAACTCAGTGGTTCCCAAAGATTTTCTTCTGAACACCCGCAGTTCCCCTTTTACTGTCCGATGAGTAGTAGCCGTAATTCTCTTTAACAAAACCATCAAAGA